ATCTTGGACTCCTTTGTCTTCGTTGGATTATAAAACTCAGCGCCCCGAATCTGCTTAAAGGCTGCTTTGAGGTATGTTTCCTCGTCCACACAAACTTTTTCATGCTTTTTGCACAAAATTTTCTCCGAAAGCTCACACTTCGCCGCACACATTTTGAAGAGTACGTGGAAGTTACAAAAAGTAGGTACGCGAAATTAACAACGACAACATACCCTATGAATGTGTATACATACTTTTTATTTACAGTTAGTTTTACGCAAGTGATGAGTAAACACAATTGACTAGTTTTTTCGTGTCCATTCATTATTTTGTTTGTGTAAAACTGCCAACTAACAAATTTACAAAATTAAATATCCGTAAAAGTACCAACTAGAGAAATATGCACACATTTGCAGATTTGTAAAGTTTTCCGTCAAGAGCCAATATAATGCACTAAAAAATGAAAAAAATGCGAAATATGCATTTATGACTAAAATATGCAAAATACGCAAAAAAAAATTGAATGCCATTTTTAAGATAATTTCTTGATTCGCATAGATACTTTATCTATTTCGCTTTACCTAAGTCCAAGAAAAACATGTATTTGCATAGATTTCCATGCTCTAGTAATCACATTATTTTAATAAATAGAACACAAGAAAATATTTTATTTCTATTTTTGCCACTCCGAATTTAGTTTAGGAACTCACCTGCGATGCAAAATTACATCGTTAGATTTAATCTTCACATTTTTGATGAGATTTGGGAATATGTTAAAAATTAGCATCTGGGGGTCCACCGAAACCAATAAAGTTTTGAAAGGGGTGTACGAGAAAAATAAGTTTGGGAACCTCTGCTCTAGAAGTATTGTGTACATATATTTGTCAAACGATTGGTTAAGTAACCTAAGAACAGTTCAAATTTAAATTATTTGAAAAAATATCACAAGCTTCAGTTGTCATGGCAACAGTACCTTTTTATGAAAATCACCAATATGTTTGCCAGTTTAACAGCGATCCAGTAGCGGATTACTACAAGGTCATTGAGCACCCTGTATTGGTTGCAGTAGAAAACTGAAAGTAGGTATAGATATTACAAATATAAAAATGAAAAAAACTAAGGGAGTGCCCCGTTTTCTAGGATGAACATTTTTTTCCCCATACAAAAATTTGGTCCACTTTAATTCACATGTATGTAGGTATGTACATTAGACTGCATCACCAAAAACACTAGCGGTTTTTCCGCCGGGATTACAAAACTTATTATATTTGAAGATGTCCACCAAAATATTTCGGAAAAATATGGACCGATTTTAAAATACCTCCGAAAATTGGGTTTTTTATACATAAAAATAGTTTCTTATAGAACTTTTTGAAAAAAATCCCCTCACATGACAAAACAGTTTAAGCTTAAATAATCTGCATAAAAATATTTAGAAATCTTTCCAACGGAATCGTAATAATGAGATTTTTGATGCTGTTTTATAACTTTTTTGAAAGATTGGTTTAAGAAAAACTTGAATAACTGGGTCAAAGCTATTCCGATTTAGACTTTGACGTATCAATGGAAAGGTATTTTCCCACTCATTTTCTGTGCAAAAAAAAACTCATTTAAGCACTTTTTATGACAAAATGCTAAGTAAAAGAACCTGTTTTCGCAATGGTTTCTTTGGCAAATTTGCGTAAAATTACACGTAGTCGGAAAAATCTCCCATAAAAATTGACCTACCGTAATGTGCATATGTACATATTTACTTACCGTCGCCTGGGTAAAAGATTGTCGTAAGCGTCATACGTACGTGCATAACATACGACAATCTTTTACCCAGGCGACGATATGTTAAATGAAGTACATGTAAAAGTGTAAAATATGTAAATATACGTACATAAACAAGTAAACTTTCTCATGAATACTGGACAAAACTGCAACGATACTGCTTGCTTGACAGCTCGGTGGTTCGCAGTATGTTGCACCAATGTTATTAAAATGAAAAACCAAGAAATAAATAAAGCCACAATCATCGAATGTATTACCTCAAGTGATTGTGACGTAGGGTGGTGCCTGATGATCGTTCCTTGTAGACCTCCAGAAAATAAGTGGCCGCGCTGTTTTCAGTAAAATTAAGTTCAACCTCCATACAGTATAACTATTTGAAGGAGAAGCTTGGCGATGGTTAATTTGGCGGCATGGGCGTACGCAGGTACGGGCTAAGGAGGGCGCGACCCCCCTCCCTCCGCCCCTAAATTCCAAAGTTTCATTTTAATTTTCTTTCTATAAATTCATATTCGATTTCCAATTCAAAAAATGTATGCAATAAATTAAAACTTTGGGTGTCTTCACATCCATTTCGATAGTTTTGGTAAACTGCTGGTTGTTCCTATTTTATCAACTGTGAACGTCCTTTTCAGATTACTTTTGTTAGTCTGATAAACAGTTATTTACTTAAAAAAAGGTAAAATAATTATTAAGTTTTAATATTTTCTCTTAGTTTGTACTTGAGTTTAGGTATGCTTAGCATTCAAAGAGGTTTTGTAGAAAAAAACAAAAATTAAATCATCACTACAACAATTTATCTTTTTGCAGAAGACGCTCGAAGATTATTGTTTAAATAAACAAGTAATTGTTAACAAAAAAAAACCGACTTCAATTCTCATGTAAAACTTTAAGATTACCGTTAATTTCTTCATGATCCAAGATTCGGATCTAAACCAAATTAGGATGCGACCACCCCTGAGGTACCACCTTTCCTTTAGAAAAGAATTATCGCAATCGTTTATGCGGTAACATATGTACATAAAAAAATATTCCGACGAATAGATAACCTCCTCCTTTTTTTGAAGTCGGTTAAAAATAATGGAAAAATTACGATTTTGGTGTAAAGACGAAGTCGCGTTTTAAAATTTACATGCAATTAAGGTAACTAACAAATTTGTATTTTAACTCTTCAATAAGTTCATAATAAACTTTATGCAATATAAATTCCTTTGTAGTGTTCGGTACAAGTCAATTAATACAATAACAAGTCATTTTTAAGCAAAAAACACAACCGACCTCAATTCTCACATAAAAATTTAAAAGTACCGTTAATTTCTTCATGATCCAATGATCGGATCTAAACCAAATTAGTATGGGACCTCCCCTGAGGCACCAGCAAAAGAATTGTCGAAATCGGTTAATGGACCACATATGTACATAAAAAAAATACATCAAAAAAATTTCGATGAATTGATAACCTCCTCCTTTTTAACTCGTTTAAAAAAATTAATGAGGTAAATTATTATAAATTTTTAGTAGCTATATTTTAACATTTCTAATAAAATTTACATAAAAAAAACTCAGGCCCCCTTAACCACACACCACAAGCCCTTTATGTGCTTACAGCATTATGAATATTTTTAATGACATCCGTTTGAGTGGAAATAAATTATTCGTACAGATTGTGAAATTTTGATATTTATAATTTGTAATCAACGTATTATATCGCACGTTTAATCTAATATGAAAAATCTCGTGTCACGGTGTTAGTGGTCGAACTCCTCCTAAACGGTTCGACCGATCCTTATGAAATCTTTTGTGTATGTATGTATGGTAGGTATGAGAATCCGATGTAAACTATATTTCATACCGCTAGGTGTAGGGGCGTGGCACCTGCCATACAAACCGAATTTTTCACACTGCATATCTCTGGAAGTGTTCATGATAGAGTACTGGAACTTAGTATGTGCAAGATATATGAAATCAGTCGCATAATCATGAAGAAAATTTGAGTCTATTAGAAAAAGGGGCGTGGCACCTCCCATACAAACCGAATTTTTCACACTGCATATCTCTGGAAGTGTTCTTGGTAGAGTACTGGAACTTGGTATGTACAAGGTATATAAAATCTATCGAATAGTCATGAAGAAAAATTGGGGCTATTGGAAAAAGGGGCGTGGCACCTCCCATACAAACCGAATTTTTTACACTGCATATCTCTGAAAGTGTTCATGGTAGAGTACTGGAACTTGGTATGTACAAGATATATAAAATCAATCGCATAGTCATGAAGAAAAATTGGGGCTATTGGGAAAAGGGGCGTGGGAACTCCCATAAAAACGAAATTTTTCACACTGCATATCTCCGGAAGTGTTCATCGTAGAGTACTCGAACATGGGATGGAGGTATATGAAATTAATCCCATGCTCGTAGAGAAAATTGGGGCTAGTTGAAAAGGGGGACGCCTTTCAAACGCACTGAAACTATTACGTATCTTTGTATGCATGTACACTTTTGCTAGATTATTTAAGACGACAATATTAGAAGATAAATGCCTCACTGAAAGTCATGAACGTGAACTGTTGGTGTAAATGTTGGACCAAAATGTTTCAATACAAAAAATTTATTTTGGGCGGGACGAAGTTTTCCGCGACTGCTAGTAAAATATAGAATTATTTCAAAATTTCAATTTTGTGGGTAAACGAAATCAAAGTTTGATCAACCCATACAGTTGGTATACCAAAATACAGATGGAAATATACATATTTATCTTCGCCATTTTTGGGAATTTTAGTCATCAGTTAGTCTGAACGTAATCTACTTATCAAGCTTATTACCTGTATGATGAAATCTCCAAAAACATAAATTTTGATTTACATCCCTATATGGGATCGGCAGTCAGTTCGAAAACGCCCTATCTCAGAAAACTTTTCAAGAACGCCCTACTTCAGAATTTGATTGAAGAAACCCTATTTCAGAATTTTATTGAAAAACACCCTTTCTCTGAATTAAGTTGAAAAACGCCCTATCTCAGATTTCGATTCATAAACGTTCTATCTCAAAAGAAAATGTATTGAAAATGTGATGAGATAGGCCGTTTTTGAACCGGATTCTGAGATAGGGCGTTCTTCAACCAAATTCTGAAATAGGGCGTTCTTGAAAAAATGTTGAGATAAGGTGTTTTCGAACTGGCTGCCGATATAGGTCAATCTCCCACTCAGGTGTCGATATATGTACCATATTTACATATGTTTTTTTGTTTTTAGTGGTGCTCCTTCCATTGAAGGTGATGTGGACAACTATGAGCATGTTCTTAGAGTAACCACTCACAATGATGCACTTTACGCTTACTATTATACAGATGACCTTACGAACAAAGTAGGTTTATTGCTTCAAAAAACATCAACTTTAAATAACAAGGCAATTTTCTACATGCAGGTTAAAGTTACAGAAATTTTCGAAATTGATTATGACGAACAACTTGCAACCGATCCGAAATTATACGAAGGCAAAGTTGAAGATCACCCGAATCCCCATCAACATCACCACAATGTTGTTAGTGAATGGAACGGCGTAGAATCAGGTGAGTTTGACAAAGCTTGGCATAGTTTCTATCTGAAGTTCAATAGGAAAGAAATTTGAAATTAAATACAAATTTTCAAAAAACACGACGTTTTTTGTGTCTTCGACAAGATAATAATATGATGTATTTGCCAACGAATTTCTGTCAACAATGACACTGAAGACGACATAACGACGAAATCGCCAAAATTCCAAATGGTTAAATACGTATACACACATATCGCACACGTTTTTCAATAAATAAAGTTTTAGGAAAAAATTCGATGGCAATGGGTAGGTTCAGAAGGTGCAGAAGTTGAGCGCAACCGTTGCTAAAAAAATCAATGATCGTAATGCGTCTTCTAAACGGCTTGATACATTAGCTGTCAAATTCAAAACACACAACACGTTGTCTCAAATGATCAGAAAAATTTTACGATCGTCTAACACGCAACTGTTCAGTTGATCAGAAGTACAAAACAACGCGTTCAGAAGGTGCAATCGCAACAGTTACTGAGCTGTTGCGCCTTCTGAACGCGCCCAATGTTCAAAATATAAAATTTTTAGGCAGTTTAACGCTTTCCTTAACATCGGCCGGTAGTGAAGACACTTGAGACCCTGCTGCTCCTGTACTTCAAGTGTCACCTGTCTCAGCGAAGCATCAGCATGGCTTCCGTAAAGTGCACAGAACCACCACCGCGCTTAACGCCGTAAACACTCAGATAACTCGTGGTCTCAACCGAAACGCCCCTGTGAAAGAACGGTCCTATTAGCGTTGGACACAGGGTTACCACTGAAAAACTTTCTTTCCTACCAGGAGCTGGTTCAATAACCTACCAAAAAGGTTTCTTTCCTACCATTTCTTTTAATCAAGAAAACGGCGTTTGACATCATTAAATACATTTATTTTTGCTGGTGTTTATACTCTTAAAGAGGATTTCCAAGTAAACAAAAAGATCAGAAGAATATATATTATATACGTACAAAGCTTAAACATTATTTTGGATTCTCTGATAGCTCTGTCAGCTTATTACCAGCTACCTAGTAGGAAGAACTCAGAAGGTGACTTGCAAGGCTACCTCGTCCGCGTCTAGTATTGTTGTGTCCGGTGTTCCGCAAGGCTCTCTTGTCAGCCTCCTCTTTTTTTAGTATTTTTGTCAACGATGTATTCTTTGTTTGTCAGTATGTGAATGTCCACGCTTATGCTGATGACTAGGGCAACCCAAAATATGTTCGGGCATATTTTTTGGCAGGCATGTTAGGAACACGCTTATGAAATGCTTAAACGTGTTTCCAAAAAATATAAAGTTTGAGTTATAAATCTTAGAGCATATTTTGCAATAAATGCATATTTCAGCATATTTTGCAGTAAATGAATATCAAATAAAACACCCCTTTGAGGTAAAATTTTCTAGTGCCGAAAGCTGAACTAGAAACACAAATTTTCTGATATCAATTTCGTGACGAAAATTATACGCATTTTTTAACTGCCTTTGAAACGTAGGGAAAATCTTTTTTATTCATAAGAATCGTTGCAAAAGTTATGTTTTTTATTTTGTGTTTCTAGCAGTAGACGGATTTTCGCAAAGTTCCGAATAAATAATAAAAAAATTTCCGTACGTTTCAAAGGCAGTTAAAAAAGCGTATAATTTTCGTCACGAAATTGATATCAGAAATTTTGTGTTTCTAGTTCAGCTTTCGGCACTCGAAAATTTTATCTTAAAGAGGTGTTTTATTTGATATCAATTGTTTTGGGATAGCAAATTTAAAATCAACGAAAATCCAAACAAAAATCTAAATGTTTTATTTTTCTCAAATAAATTCCTAAAAATATTATCTAAATCTAAATTATGTGTTAAAATCGATGTGTCCATTGAAACATATAATTTTTCGAATACGAAATAAAGCGAAAAAGAATGATCCGATCCTTCGTATTCGAAAAGCTTAAAAAAAAATATGAGACATGATAAAAACTTATCAACTTAGTACCAACTTTGGATGCAACAAACAACTGTATTCGTCTGATTGTTGATGGTTGTTGATTGTTGAGTTTTACTTCTATCACGTGAACGGTCTTGCAAAGACCGTTACATGTTACAATTTCGGCATATGACTAAAAAAAAAACTCTAAAATACACACAAATTGTGGTTTCCACGACATGTACGAAGTGATTAGCACAGCTGCATCCTTCAACTTGTCAACTCGCGGGAAATTCCCCGATTTGCTGGGAATTTCGGTTTAAGTGGCAAACGGGGAATGGGAAATTTTTTTCGGGGAACTGGGTATGTTATTTTTATATCTTAAAGTAACCAAATTAGACGGATATGTTAATTTTTAACCATTTGACCCTTTTTGGAACGACATTTTTTCAATTTGAATCGCAATATCTCCACAACAAGAGTTTTCCCAGATATAAGCTATATACCAGAAGAAAGCTAGGGTTTTGGGCTAGATTTGTGGAAACTTAGAATAAAATCGACTGACCAGTTTTTAAGAAGATTCCCGAAATGTATATTTTCAGCAGCCCGATTTTTAGTTTTCAGGCGCTAACGTTATGACGTATTTATATTTTATGAATACAAAAGATAGCGTTAAATAGCTTGTTAAAGACCCTTCTACTGGTATCCACATCAATGACATGGATTGAGTAGTGCGGCTTCAGTGGTAGTTTAAAAAATTGCCTTTTTTCGAATTTCAGGCAGCAGCCACGACCACAAAGGCATACGAATCCCAACATCCTGGAACAAAACCTTCTTAGTTTTTCTTGTACTTAAATTCCTGAAAGTTTGAAAAAAATGAAACGAAGGTAGGTCCAGACGCCACATACATACCAAAGCATCTCGTAGTGGAGACACGAACCAAAACACATTTAGCTCTATATCTTTCCAACTAGTAGCCGGAACTCAATATATAAGGTATCGTTTCAAAGGTATTGGCCTATAGAATAACACTAAATATGTTGGGTGTACCCACATGCCCCCTTATACCGGCAAAAGCAAAAAAACGTTTTTTGTTTCGCAACACTTTAGTATAATTTTTAAGAATTCGGTTAATCGTTTATGAAGCTTGAATACATTTTCTGGACACACTCTGCAAGACCTTTCCAACGATATCTCAAACATGTCGATTGGACATCTGGATAAAAACTTTCAAATCTCGTGTATATATAAGCGAGTCATTTCAGCATGCTACTGTGGCTGCTTTCGTCGCTCGCGCGCACTGCCTTGCGCTGTGATTTTCGGATACTTTGCGTTGCGTTATTACGGTTAGAACTAATAATACAAATTTCTGAAATAATAACAATATAGTAACATGGTGTCGAAAGTGAAATAAATATCAAAGTACACGTTCACGTCGTGTTTATATAAAGTTTTTTTGTATGTGAGAAAGATAATCCTATTTATATGTTGCGCCTTGACAGATGAGTTGTCCCACCACTGACCCGCCATGGCGCGCCATTATAATTTCGTTTGGCATGCAATTAACAAGGATTTCATCAAACGCATGTAAATATGTTTTCTTATGGAAGTCTTTATTATTACTAGTACCAGGTTACGCAGCGAGATACAAAACGTGGTTCGGTTACATGCTACGTGTTACTACTACAAGTGCTAGGGCAAAGCTACGCAGCGATAGTCAATTGTCACCTCCTAGAACAACTCCATGTTAAATGCGACAGCAGAAAGCATGGGTGGTAGATTTGCGATGTACCGGTATGCGACTCCCGACTAGTGCTTTCCGCTACAGGGTATATCGTTGTTTAAAGTCCAAAGCCGCGTATCGTCATTCTGCAAAACCGCGTAACTGACATTGGCTGCCGAAAATTGGATTTGCTCACACAAGCTCTTGGCTCAATCCTTATCCATTCGTCCTGAAATATACTAGCCAGAAATGCGGGTTCTTTATAAAAAAGAAAATCATTTTGATTTATGAATGTTTTTACTATCTTGAAAATAATTTATGCAATCTCGCATACCCGGCTTTGCATTTTGTTGATACGCGGTTTAGTACTTTAAACGACGATATGTATCTACAAACATACACAGTATGTGCAACAATTTGTGAATTAGATTCCATGTACTTTCATACATATGTTTTAAAAGCAAATGAAATAAATATGAATTATTAAACATAAATATATATGTATATACACTTTTATGAAATTTAGAACATTTTAGGTGCTGCAGATAAAGTTAAAGGCATAACATAAACGAAAATTAAAAGCATATCTTATGGCTTATAATGATTTTAAAAGCATTTTGTGGAGCATATACATATTTAGAATTTATTGGCATATTTTAAGCGCTTAAAATAAGTTTTTATTAGCATATTTTGGGTTGCCCTGCTGATGACATTCAATTGTATTTGTCTCATTGAGGACTTATGTTTTAAAATGGGCGCGTTCATAAGACGTAGCTCATCTGCTACGAAACTGCTGGCAACTGTTGAATCCAACAATTACGTCTTAGAAACGGCTTGATGAATATGCTGCCAAATGAACAGCTAATAAATGTAAACAAATGAAATTGCAACAAATAGAGATAGTTGCGTCGAGAGTATTTAGAATTCAACGCTGAGCTGCCGCCGTGTTGAAAAAATCGTGCAATGTTACAATGAATTAAACAGTGTAAAATTATATAACATCTTAAAAACATATTTAGAAACGTAGTATTATTATAAAATATTCTATTTATTTTATCACATTAGTAATATAAAATATAATAAATTTCTTCGCAACTGCCACCTAACGAAGCGGCGTTAAATTTAATATAAGCGGCGTAAGTCTTTTCGATCAGCTGTTTAGGCTTAGCCCAACACGTTGAGTTCAGGTAGCGTAAACATTTGCCAGCTGTTGAGCTGAGCGGAACTACTCAACTGTGCGTTTCTAAGACAAATAGCCAACGGTTGGGCAACAGCTACGTCTTATAAACGCGCCCATTAAAACATTGCAATTTCGCAATGGGCCAATGATAATTGTCTTTGTCTTAATGCTGCTAAGCCCTATGTGTTTTACACATTAGTAACTGTGTGGTACATTTGGAGAATATTCCGAAACTTACTACTGGTAATAGCTTATTAATGTTTACTGACAAGATTAAAAAAAACTTTGGCTTTAATAAAGTTGTTAGCAGTGTATATGTTGTTTTGCGTAGGCTAAAAATGTCAGCTTCGTTTACACCTCTTGAGACAAGAAGAAATCTTGCTGTTCAACTTATTGTCCCTCATATTATGTACTGTGAGAATGTATATAGCAAACTTAATTCTTTTTCGTCTCACAAGATTGATGGTTTGTTTAACAATGTTACACGTTACGTCTATGGCCTCAAACGATATGTGATATCTTTATGGAAATCTAAATTTCTTGGATGTGGTATTTTTAATTACCTTGCTGCAAGAAATTGTATATTTATGTTCAAGCTCATAAAATATAAAACTTCTTTATGATAAACTACAATTAACTAGGTCAAGTAGACATCAAAGTCTGGTAAACACCTATTTGTCTTCGTCAAGGCGTAGCTACAAAAAGATAATTCACGGTTATTTTAACACCGTAAATATAATGTGATTGCGATTGAACTGTCTTCTCTTCTCGATCTTTCTGTTTTCTTATTTTTTGTGTTCGTCTTGATATTGGATGTACCTCAAATTTTAAAATTAGTTATAAGTATCTATCGTTGTTGTAACTATTTATTGTTATACTTAAGTTTGCACCAAATTTTAAATAAGCTTTCAATTTTGTAATTTCTATCTATTGATGTATTATAAAATAGTTAAAGTCATACTCTTAAATAAATACAAATACAAATATATCTTAATAAATACAAATACAAATATAGCACACCGAAAAAAATGGTGTATGCTTTTAACCAGACCCACCTACAGACATATATTTCGACCCGCTAATCCGAATCTGGGGTCTGTTTCACATCCTCAAAATTGGAGTAAACGGCGAAAAACCGAAAAAATTCCATTCATTCCATTGAAAAGAGGAAAACAACATAAATTTAAATATGCCCTAATTATCTCTATTTCAGCAGTAACCTCTTTTTAAATGACTAAATTTCATTAATTTGTGGGAAAATTACAAAAATCAAAAGAAGTTGTAATTTTTGTCAATGGAAACTTTTATTTCATGCATAATTACTTTAAAGCAGTCACAAGGAGATGTCCTTTAATCTTTAAATATTTTTTAATATTTCTACGAAGATTATACCAACCTCATTTTTATTGAAAACGAAAGCGTATAATTCATATTTTACAACACAAATACATCGTTCGTAAAAATTAAGTGCTTTGGCTAAAATTAATTTTTGAGTGCACAGGGGTAAAATAGAGTTATTTTCAGTGTCCCACTAGTCACATTCATTCAAATGATAGTTACATAAAACTAAGAAATCGTTTGGTATTTTTGTTAAAGCAATTCTATACATTAGTTATCGTTTATGTTAAAAAATATATTTCGCTGTTGTATAAGTTCCGACGACATAGTTAAAATTCACAATTGATGACATACTGGAGTTAAATGTCCCACTAGTCACAATGGAATGGCCCATAGTTTATAGTTTTAATAAAGCCTTCGGAATAAATGGCGTAACAAAGCGTAGCAGAAAATAAAATTCCGTGTTAGATTTTTTATACATACCTCATTTGAATACATATCGTTGTTTAAAGTACAAAACTGCGTATCGTCATTCTACAAAACCGCGTAACTGACATTTGCTGCCAAAAATTGGATTTGCTCACACAAGCTATTGGCTCAATCCTTTTCAGTTCGAACTGAAATATACTAGCTAGTTACAAATGCGATTGCTTTATTAAAAAAATATCCATTTTGAAATAACTTAACTTTAAGATTCTCCGATTTACTGGAAATAAAACTAACAATAAGTTGTTTCGTTTTTAATTTTCACGTATAATAAAAAATGACATATTCTGTAAACACGTACATTTGTTATGTATTATGCATTTGAAATATTTTAACAACCTTGTCATTGTTGAAACTATTATCGATTCGCAACTGCATTTCAAAGAAAAATACCTGATTTATAATCCTGCCTTTACAACAATCAATTCAATCACTTGATATCCCTTTAGATACGCAGTGGATGAAACTTTTTATAGCGTATACGGAGTTCAGAGAATTGCCGAAGGTAATTGGTAAAATTTTGCCTATACCAGTAAGTAACGAGTTTTTTTTATTTAAGTTGATGACACACCAATTTCGACGGCGAGCAACTGAAAAATCTACAGGCAACAAAGTACAGAGCCGCGAAAAGGTTCTCAAGTCGCTCGCAGGCAGCACCCGGGGCAAGATATATTGTTGGCAACGTACAAAGTAATAGGCCGGCCGGTTAGTTAGAGGCAGGAAATGAAGCTACAAGCTTGCCAAAAACGCAGATCTCCGAACAGGGTATCTTCTCAAATCGCCTACGTAACCTGCAAAACGAAGCCCAAAATGCTCCCAGTAAGAGAGCTCAACATAATGCTCAGCAAGCAGTTCTTAGTAGAGTGATACAGACGAGCAACCGCACAGGCCTTGCCGTAGGGCCTGAGTTCAAACCCTGGTCCGGGCAACATCTAAATTAGAAAATGCTTTTTCTAACATCGGTCGCCCCTCAGGAGCCAATGGCAAACATCCGAATGTATTTCCGCCATAAAAAAGCTTCTCATAAAAATTCATTGGCCGTTCGGAGGCGGCATGACGACTTAAAAATAAAGTACGATTTATTTATTTTCTAACATTCTGCAAGTTGCTTTCAATGCAACAAATGACTTTTAATAGAAGACTGTAACAAAAATATAAACTATTTAAAAGAAAGAACTTACAACATTTACTAGATTTCACAAACAGTAAGCGACGCGTTGAGGAGTGCAATGGGGTATAGTCGTTGCGCTGGGTATGCAGTTACAGTTGCATGGCTATACTCAATCCCGACTCTTGCGTCCTCGTTCGCGCACTCTGGGCAACGTGAGCAACCCATGTGCAAGATGCGGTAACCAATCCGAGTGGAGCCTTGCTTGGGTCACGGCAGAAAGAGAGGGAGCTTCGGTGGGGCCACTCTGACTTATTCGGTTTAAGGGCTACTGAAGTCTGCAGCGTCTGTTCACCAGTAGGTGCGGCTACAAGCGGGTGTCTGCTTGGAGCAAGCGGCTCGCTATATAAACGTGTATTTGGTTGCGAAACCACCCCCGTCCCAGCAATGGGTTGTGCGCTGGGCTTGGGACCTGCCACGTAAAAACCACTTCCAGTGAAGAAGCAAGGCAAAGCCTCGGATGAGACCCCCCTTATGATGACGACCACGGCAAACGATTAAAGGACTACGATTTGAGGGCATGCACCTGGAATGTCCGGACCCTTAATGGGGAAGGTGCCTCTGCCCGGCTGGTTGATGTCCTCGTAAGGACAAAAGCTGACATCACCGCCATCCAAGAAATGCGTTGGACTGGGCAAGGCAAACAATGTCTGGGGCCTTGCGACGGCCACTACAACTGCCATGTAAAGGAGCGCAAATTCGGTGTTGGATTTGTGGTGGGAGAGAGACTCCGTCGCCGAGTACTGTCGTTCACCCCGGAGATTCTTCAACATCTCGCTCATCTGCGCCCATGCCCCGACGGAAGAGAAGGATAAGGCATTCAAGGATATCTTCTATGAGCGCTTGGAGCGCACGTACGAGCGCTGGCCCCGTCATGATATCAAAATCGTGCTTGGCGAATTCAATGCCAGGGTGGGCAAGGAAGGGATCTTTGGAACCACCGTCGGAAAATTCAGCCTCCACGACGAAACGTCCGACAACGGATTGAGGCTGATCGACTTCGCCGGGGCCCGAAACATGGTAGTATGCAGTACTAGGTTCAAACATAACAAGATCCATCAAGCTACGTGGCTGTCTCCGGATAGAAAAACGAGAAACCAAATCGATCATGTGGTGATAGACGGAAGGCACGCTTCCAGTGTTTTAGACGTACGCACACTCCGAGGCCCAAACATCGACTCGGACGACTATCTTGTTGCAGCCAAGATACGCACCCGCCTCTGTGCAGCAAAAAATGTGCGCCCAAATATGCAAGGAAAGCTTAACGTCGAAAAGCTGCAATCACAACAGACAGCCAGCGCTTTCGCTACTCGACTCTCACACCTGCTCTCAGAGAGCACTCTTCAACAAACCGGCATATGCGAGCAGTGGAACCACATTTCCCGCTCATTAAGTACCGCCGCCGAAGAAGTAATCGGATTTCAGCGAGCCCGAAAGAACAACTGGTACGATGAGGAGTGTCAGGAAGCTGCAGAGAAAAAAGATGCCGCCTACAGGGCCACGCTGCGATCGGGCGCAACGCGCGCTATGTGGGACCGCTATAGGGATCTGAAGAGGGAAGCGAGACGTATTTGCCGCAACAAGAAGAGAGAGGCGGAAATACGTGAGTGCGAAGAGCTTGAAATGCTGGCCGACAGGAGGAATGCCCGAAAATTTTACCAGAGAGTAAGGCGACTTACGGAAGGTTTAAAGACCGGGGCGCACTCCTGTAAGAACAATAATGGCGACCTAGTAACTGATGTCCAGAGCGTACTTAAATTATGGAGGGAACACTTTTCCGCGCTACTAAATGGTAGCAGCACGGAAAGTTGTGGAGAAGAAGAACCCGAGCCCGCAGTCGATGATGACGGAGTCGACGTTCCACCGCCTGACTATGACGAGGTACGTATAGCAATAACGCGGCTGAAAAACAACAAAGCCGCTGGAGCTGAGAGCCTGCCAGCTGAGCTATTCAAGTACGGCGGCGAGGAGTTGATAAGGTGCATGCATCAACTCTTGTGCAGAATATGGTCAGATGAACGCATGCCCGACGACTGGAATTTAAGTGTGCTCTGCCCAATCCACAAGAAAGGTGACCCCGCCATTCGCGCCAACTACCGCGGGATCAGCCTTCTAAGCATAGGTTACAAGGTCTTATCGCGCGTATTGTGTGAAAGACTGAAGCCCACCGTCAATGAACTGATTGGGCCTTATCAGTGTGGCTTTAGACCTGGTGGATAGACCAGGTATTTACAATACGCCAAATCTTGGAAAAGACCCGCGAGAAAAGGATCGGCACTCACCACCTATTTGTCGACTTTAAAGCCGCTTTTGACAGCACTAAAAGGAGTTGCCTATACGCCGCTATGTCTGAATTTGGCATCCCCTCAAAACTCATACGGCTGTGTAAAATGACGTTGAGCAATACCACCAGCTCCGTCAGAATTGGAAAAGACCTCTCCGAGCCGTTCGCCACAAAACGGGGTTTCAGACAGGGCGACTCCCTTTCATGTGACTTATTTAATCTGATGTTGGAGAAGATAATAAGAGCTGCAGAACTGAACCGCTCAGGAACAATTTACTA